GGAGGCAGGTGGAGGCCTCCACACACAAGGCTTCTGATAATTCCTGGAGTGGAGTGACAGCAGAGGATCCAGGGGAATAGGCCAGAAGAATTGCTGTTCCAGGTTAGAGCCTTGCTGCACGTGGGAGAGAGCCCATTGGGACTGTGAATGGGAGTAACTGAACTAACGAGTAAGCTGGGGCAGGTCTGTGCTGAGCAGTAACTGAACTAACTGATTTCTTTTGTTGTGATTGGGACATGAGAACCTGACCCCAGGTGAACGGGACATGGACTGAGTCTGGCAAAGAGACTGAGAGCAGTCAGGTTTTTGCTTTCTTTTTTTTCTTTGGATATTTGAGCACAGGCCAAGGCCAGCCTTGGAAGGGTTTGCACCTAACTGAAGCTGACGGTAACCCTGGTGGCTGAGGACATTATAATAGACAAATGGGCAGTATTAAGACCTGGCTGCAGAGAACTACGAGTGCCATCTGGAGAGGCTAGGGTGGGGGAAAGGGGAGGTTTGGAGCCTCACAGAAGAAAACAGAGATTGAGACTGGGTAGGATCACCTTGGACATTGCCTCCTAGCAATATAATATCATCAAAGTTGTGTCAGGCGAGAAAACATAAGACCAACTTCCTGGTAGACCAGGTGATCCAAAGCCAAGATCCACCCTGTCACCGCCTGTAGGAAAACAAGCTCAGGGCAGTGGCAGCAAGCTCTACAACACCTACAGTTGTCACAGGGGCCCAAAAACTGGACAGAGTACTCCAGATTTGGCCATGACTGTTATTGGTCACATTGTAAAAAACCTCCTAACAGAGCACCTTCTCTGTTAAAAAAAACAAACAACCCCCCCAACCCCCCCAACCCCCCCCCAGTAGCATTCCTAATCCTTTGCATGTTGGCCAAGTTATCTATGATTTGTGTTTAGAAGATGAATTCCAGACAATTTGTGTTCCAGAAGATAAGTATTTCAGGAAGCTGTAGGGCTAGACTCTCTTCATTTATTGTGGCTCTTCTCTGCACTTAAGTAAGGATCTGAGGCCTAGATGACTTCATAAGAAGTATCCTGGGGTGGTAAAACTGTACATGCCCAGACCAGTACAAAGGAAATTCAGAGATATGAGCAGTGGAGTGAAGTGTACTTTTATTCCAACTATTCTCAGATGGCTGCTCTAACTTAAGTTGAGGCTGAAGAATATATGGCTTGAGAATATAATGGAGCCTATATTGGCACAGTAGAGAATCTGGATCACACATTGAAAGCAGCCTAATCTTATCTCAATTTTTACCACATATTAATCCAAAAATTATTCATAACCTATCAAGAACAGGTGCTGAGTTTAAGTCCTGTATATAAACACTTTAGTGATGAAAGTTATAGGAATGTCTATGAATAGAACAAATTATACTCAAATTTTGCAGCTAGAGCTATATTTCAAATACTTATTTCCACAGCAAAGTTCAGCTGGTTGTTCTCTCTTTACATTCTTTCTGGGACAGAACTCTTCTGAGACAGCTTCCCCTTGATCCAGATCTTTTCCCTTCTAGTCAGTGTCAGTGCAATGGAGAGTGGCCTGGACTAGTTTAGTTTATCCAGTTGGCTTTATGTTTGCTCATTAGATAGCTTTTGCAGGTCTCAAACATTCCTGGTTACCCTTAGAGTTACCTGGAACACCTTGCATTGGCTCCATTCTAGTACATGTTAGAGGACTTGTCTGAGTGAAGCAAACAGGATACTTCTCACTGCCATCAGATCCAGGGCAACATTCCACTACTCAGTACCTATCTGTTTAATATCAGCTGGAGGATGGAATCCGACATTCCATTCAAAAATCCCTAAAATAAATTGGGAGTGGGCTGATGCAAAAATTATGCTATAGCTGGCAAGTTGTTCAGAGGGAACCAGTAAATATATTATTAGAAGATCTAACCATTGAAGAGATGACATTGGGCATGTGTAGATGAAACAAAATTTCCTGTTACGTCAATGCAACTGCATTTGTGTTTGCACAACCTTGGATTTCCCACTGCTTTAAAGTCCATTTAGCACCTTAAACTAACACTACTTGGAGATGTTTTAAATTCCGTCACTTTCATGTTACGCCACTCCAAGTGTGGATTTTGTTCATGCAAACAGCCAGAGACCCCAAAGGCTTGTAATTAATCCTCTCTGCCACAAGGGGCCACTGTGTTCCAGCCTCTTGCCAGTGGGTGGTGCTGTGTTCTTTTTTACCCTCTTTCACTCCGCACTCCTCACCCCTCCCTCCTCTGCAGTCAGGTTGTGTTGAGATGTGTCTGGTTGTTTGTTTGTTTGCCCTTTTTATTACTTTAAAATAATGGGGGAAAGAAATATAATTTTCTACCCCCTCTTAATTGTTCTCCCCCACCTATTGTCTATGTCCTCCCAGCTCCCACCCATGTAACCTCCTGTTCTCCAGCCCCCGCTGATACCCTCCACCTACTGTGACCCCTTCACATGCCGTTGACTACCAGTGCAGTGGCTATGGCTCCCGATGGCTCCGACAGTATCAGTGGAACAGTAAGTTTTCTGCAACTAATTTGAAATTTTGGAGGGAGTGAGTGGTTACATGACTTCCTGCAATACTGCAATCTGAACTTGCATCACATTCCATTCCAGAGCCATGAGTCCAATATGCTGCCTGCCAGACTTGACAGCTGGGGTATGCAGTGTCCCGGGTGATATTTAGTTAATATGTCCCACTGACCCTGTGTGTGCGCGGGGGGGGGGGTTGGCAAAAGTCCACTTTTTCGACTGTGCGCCAAGCCCCCCGCTCCTCTTCCTCTTCTCTTTTCCTCCCTTCTCGCAGAAAACTTTCACAGGCAGAACTCACTGGGGATGAGCTGACAGGCCAGTGAAGACTTAACTGACTGTCACCAAGACTGTAAAAAAAAAAAAAAGAGAGGTTATTTTCAGAATTTTATTTTTGTTACATTTGTATTTATTTTCTTTTTATATTGTCAATTTGTACATAGTTATTTTTTCTATTAGTTTTCATTTTCGGTTAAGTTTTTTGTTCTATATAATAAATGTGTCATTTTTTCTTTGGGCTGGTTGGGTATGTTTTTGGAGACCGTGCCTGCCTGAGTGGCTGGGATGCTGTGCCTGGGTGGGGGTTTAGTCATGGCACTACATTACTCAACAGATTTGCAAAGAATTGCAGGGTGAAGAGTTGCTAGCACTTGAGAGTAGCTAGCACTTGTTAAGTGCAAGCTAGGGTGTGGTCTAGCCAGATATGTCTTGTAAGAAACACTAAACAACCCCACTCAGGGCCTTTAGCCTTTAGCAAGTCTTTAAAGACAATTTATTAAGTCTTTAAAATACATTATAATGCATATGATATGGTCGCCGAGGGCAGTGCAGGGTTGGGGTTAATGCCTACTGCCACAGCTCCAAAACAGCTTCTTTGCAGGTAGGCTGGACTGTTATGGGAGGTGCGGTGCAAAAAGTGTTTCCCTACCCCAGTGCTTTCTTTGGAATGTAATGTTTGCTTTACAAAAATCCTGCATGCAGCACCTTTTGGAGGGTTTGCAGACTGCTCTCCCCCCTGCCCACTTCAACCCGTTCTTCCCCAGGAGAGAGCATGGTCATTTCAAGTGTGCAGGCAGATGCTTACAGGAGAAATAGTCAGAGTCAGGTTTGCACCTGCAGAGGCTAGAGGTTGGAGAGGGGGTATCTGGTCATGTCTGGACAGTTCCTCATGGGTGCTTTGTCCATACAATAACTGCTTGTGCTGCAGAGAGCATTGTGTAAGTATTGCAATAGCTGGCCTGCTTAGTCCTAGGCCTTGACGTGTTCTCTGTTTTCCTGCTCACCTTAGTGGCCTTTTTGGACATCTACAGTGCATTTTTGGTGTTTGCACATCCAGAAGTACTTTGTCTCTGGATGCATAGCCACACTCATGTGGCTGATTATCCAGACATTTTGCATCAGATGGCTATCCCCAGACATATTATAGAGAGGTGCCTGGAGGGGAGGCCAACCAAGCTGAAATATGGGCCCTGTTTTATCCAGCCTGGGAAGCAACCTCACTCACTCCCCTCCTCTGGCCACCTACAAACTCCCAGCCCCGCTGCTTCCCAGGCCCATGAAATCAAGCAGGAGCAAGTACAAATCAGAATTTTTTTTTTTCCTCATCTTTCTTTTTTTCCCCACAATAAATTGAATTGCAATCAACTCCATTGAGAAATCACAATAAAGCTAAAACGGTATAGACCTTTTCCCCCCTGTTAAATCTTTGGGCCCCCACACCACCTATAGTGTATGTTCTCTTATGTATGTACCCCAATCCAAATTTGGTGGCAGGTACATGACCAGTAACCAGGTGCAGGGTGAGAAGACTATATGAAATGGGCCTACAGAACTTGTATGAAATCGAGCTCATGCTCAGGCCAAAGCCAGTGAAGAAGCCTGTTTCTGTCAAAGCTAACCAGGTGGGCACAGGGTCTAAGACAGAGAGGAGGAAAAGCAACCAAGAAGCCCTTCACAATTCAGAGAAACTCAAGCTTTTTGTGGGGAAGAAGGCACCACCTGCAACCTGAGACCTCTGCTACTGCAGTGATAGCTCATGATCGCAGCTTGCTTGGTGGTCAGCAGCTACTCCAAAGATACAAGGGTGCAACAGAGAGGTGTCATAAGGCACAGGGCAAGTGGGGCGAAGAGGTCTTGGCCAGTGTGGTGGTCGTGCTTAGGATGTCACCTCGTACCTCTATATAATCACCTAACGGACTCCCAACTTTTTCCGCCTGCCACATCTTGGATGTTATATTTGGATGTCACGAGTTGGGACTTCTCTCTCTTTTTTGTCAATTGTTTGTTCAGATTATGTCTCTATTAGGGGTTCATGACCACTATGGGTAAATTATCTCACTCGCTTCTCCGGGTAGCCGCACATGCTTGAAGATATAGATAATTACAGTTGGATTCAGATTAAACTTGTCTTTATTTTTATCTTTTAAACCCTCTATATTTTTTTTTTTTTTTTTTTATACTTTCAGGCAGAAATAGTCTTTTGCATTCTTTTTTTTTTTTTTTTTAAACCTTACCTCAAATAACAACTCTGGTAATTCTACTTATATAAAGTCCTTACACAATAACTACCAACTAAGCTAAACAGAATCTAGAGTTAATGAGCAAAGTCTCCTTCTATCTTGTCTGTCCATTTTCAAAGGACATTTTTTCTTTGGGCTTCTATCTTCAAGCCCCGCTATTCATGCTCTCCTTGACAAGATGACAGATTAGTTTACTTTTTACCTTGGACTCAACTGGTGTCCTGAATTCCACTGGTGTACAACTGGGTGCCATCTCCCAGGCGAAGAGATTAAACTTCCTTTCTTTGTTTACTTTTCTAGGTCCACAGTATCTGATGCATCCTATGGTTTATCTCCTCGGGGATCTGCCCCCGCCCTCAGAGCTCCATTTTCCCTCAGCACTGTGAGGAGTCTTAAGATAAGTTTCTGATCCCTTGGGGATCCTCTTTCCTCTTTTTTTTTTTTTTCTTCACTTTTTGCCAGCTCCCTTTTTTGCTAAAATGCCCGGTTCTTTTCTTCGCTCCACTCTCGGAGCTTCTATCCTAATATGGTATTGGCTCCGGAAGTGGCATCTGCCGGGTCTTTTCATCATGTCCACACTCATTCTCTCACAGCCAGCAACCAAGAAGACCTTGTGCTTGTGCCTGCCTCCGCTCTAATAGGTGTTCCAGCGCCGCCTTTGCCCGGGTCCAAGATCTTGTGCGCCCTGGGCTTACGGGTAGACCCCAGAGGTTACCCCTGCTGACATCAGGAGGACCCCTTAACTCTCCTGCCACAACTTCGGATGTAACTTCAGTGGGGGGGTCCTCCCTTGGGGCAGCCACCAGGGTCGACGCGTTTCCCGGCGGGTACTCTCGGGGCTCCGTCCTCCCCTACACCCTGGCCACCTTAAGTTCTACCTCCTCTGGCTTCCACGTTGTCCTCGGCCTGCCACCCTCTCGCCCCTGACTCGCCGGCCATCAATGAAGGTCTTCAGGCTTGAGGTACAGCCTACTGGGGCGCCAGCCCGGTTCTTCTGCCTTGGCTCCTGCTTCAATTCTGCTGCCAGTGATGCAGCCGGCTCTTCCGCTGGCTCTACAGTCTATGGTGCGACCGGTTACCTCACCGGCGCTGCTGCCTGCCATGCAGCCAGCTCCTCCACCGACCCTGCCGCTTGTGAGACAGCCGGTTTCCTCACCGGCTCTGCTGCCTATGACGCGACCAGTTACCTCACCGGTTCTGCTGCCTGCAATGCAGCTGGTTTCTTTGCTAGCTCTGCTTCCCGTCACCCAGTCAGCTCCTCCTCCGGCTCTGTTGCCGGTGATGCAGCTGGTTCCCTCAACGGCTCTGCTGACAACCGCGGAGCTGGCTCCTCCGCTAGCACTGCCGCTGGCTGCTTTGCAAGCTCTCTCGGAGCCTGCTCTGGCTCCGCCCCTTTCGCTCCCCGCCGCTGGCTGATCCCCTCCTCGCAGGAGCTCGCTCCTCCAGTCTCCTCCTATCAGCCGCCCCGCTGCCTCGGCTGGGCCACTTTTTATCCCTTCCGGGAAGCGTCCTCCGCCCCCGCTGCTCTGCTGCAGCTGGATAAACGCCTGGCTGATCACCTGCGCTGGCGTTCTTGGCGTGCGTGCCTCCTCTGGCTCTGCAGGAGGTAAGTGGGACTCTGCTGCCCTGGGGGTCCTTCAGCATCCCAGCTCCCCTGGGACAGTGGCTAATACCAACTCCAGAGGCACAAGGGCTAAGGAAGATTGCTGAGGTGTAAGGCACAGGGCAAGTTGGGCAAAGAGTCTACTACCCAGAATACAGAGCAACCTGTTTCTTGGCCAGCAACCAAGAAGAAGGTTTGCAAGGGATAGGAGTAAGGAACATAGAGGTGTAAGGCACAGGGCAAGCCCTGATGCTCGCACCAAATTCATACATTCATTGATTCATAGACACTAGGGCTGGAAGGGACCTTGGAAGATCTTTGAGTCCAGCCCCCTGCCCCAGAGGCAGGAAGTCAGCAGGGGTTATAGTGTCCCAGCAAGATAAACATCCATATTTCTCTCAAAGGCATTCAAAGGTGCTTGAACCACCTCCTGTGGCAGTCTATTCCAGATCTTGGGGGCTCAGACAGTTCTTCCTTATGTCCAGCCTGAAATGGTCACGGAGGAGTTTGAGACCATTTTACCTTGTCATCCCTTGGGGCGCTGTAGTGACCAGATGTTTCCCCAGATCCTGGTGAGC